ATTCACAGTCCAACAAATCAGTCGCAAAATGGATAACGTTATTATGCCCTCAGGCGATGCCCAATTTAGTGCAGTACACAGGGCAGTCTGGTGAATTCTACAGAGGTGCATTAATCGGCGCTCCTTGACTGTAAACTGTGGGTGGGCTACTTACTGTACGTACACCCTGGGAAGTAAATTGTCTTCGTTGGGGCAATGGATCCTGTGCCCCAAATACCGATTATTTTCACGAAGTACGGTATTTCGGTGGATACGAATAACTGCTGAATTATACGGATGGTAGGACCTGGTAGGGTTTTGGTAGGAAGTGGTAGGAAGCAAAAACACCATATACAGGACCGCAGTAAAAAGCACTATTTTGGTCCACGACTCGAATACATATACCTACGTTTTTTCATCGGTTTAAGGAGTTGTGGCTTTTACAGTTAGTCGAGGTGTACTGTACCAGTGAGCAGGACATGTCATCGAGCGATAGCTTCCCGCTCCTAGTCGTCTCACCTGTAGTTGAAAGGAAGCATCTCAGTACCTCAGCGTGGGGGATGCATGTAATATAACTATCGCCCGGGGGGCTCACATTGAAATCAATCGAATTGGCCTTGTTCGTTTTCGTGCGAGTGTATGTGAAACGGCTCTACCAACAACCAGTACAGATGGCGGCAGTGGGTCCGTCCAAGTCGAGGGCGTTGTACTATGAGATGCAGCTCCGCGAAGCGCTGCTGGCGTCGGACAACGTGCACGCGTTGTTTGACAAGGAGCGCCGTGTGCAGCGCTGTATCCGGCTGGCGGACGAACTATGTGGCGACTTGACGGTGTTTGGACCCATCCTTCGTACGCTAGCTACATCACAACGATGTCGTGGCATGTATTGTTGTTTCAATATCGCGTTGACTACTGTAGATACGATCTTGGTCGAGCTCAAAGCTGCCATCTTCAGGTGTAGTGTCGTTGTTATGTCAAATTGTCATGTTGAAACGGGCGGGGCTGATAGCGACGAGTCGCTGGCTCGGGGCTTCTTCGGCTGTGGCGTGTTTTCTGACACGGCGACGGTGGCCGACATCCAGGCCAGGTGCGTAACTTATGCTCAGCAATAGCTAGCTAGCTAGCTAGCATGATCGGCATCGTACGCAGGACATCATATCGCGAGATTCCGTGCTTTGTCCTGCTGGACGTTGCGTACAGGGAACGCACAAGTGTACTGCAGGCCAAGGTAAGACACACATAAGAGTGTTCTGGTGGAGGTTGGTTGGATATTTGTTCTACCTGAGATCTTTAGGCCGAATTCCAATCGTTGCAAGAGCACGCCTTAGCCAAGCATACGAATGTCCTTGTGAACGAGCGGTTGCTGCGAAAGGAAGTCAACATCACCATGGGGGAACTGGCCGACACTCAGGGTATAATATATATATATATATTGTCTATAGTTGCAAACAGATGAACCCCTGTGTGTATGCTCTGATCACGGAACTTTGCGGTGTAATGGAGTCTTTTCCATGTTTGTCACTAATATATACTTGCAGCTCAAGTAGCGCGTTCCAAGCTCGCGTTCGAATCGTTGCAAATGGAAGCCAAGCAGCAGCGACGTGACATGGCATCGTCGACTCTGTATCTGCAGCGGTATACGTCCATGTCGTGTTGTGTTTATGTCTAGTGTTGTTTTCATTGAATTGTTTGTACTTGGTAGAGAAATGCAAGCCATGAGCGTGGCTATCACCCAATACCAAGCGCAGATCCGAGAGCTCCAGCGCGAACGTGCGACGTCCGACTCGGTTCGAAAGGACTTTGAGAGCGTGCGGTTGATGGCGTCGGCTTCCCCACCCTCCACGCATGATGCAGGTACACTATCACTAGAGATTTGTCGGGCAAGGCTCAGATATGAATATATATATATATTGGCTCGTAGCTACCAAGGAGTTGCTCCAAACGTTGCAAACCGACATGCAATTGCTCCTGCTTCGAAACGCACGGTTGCGCGAGTATGACAGTGACATTATACGGTGTAGTCCAGACATGCGCCACAAGTAAGCCTAGCTTGCCTTCGTTTTGGAGAGAGCAATGATATGTACTCCTGGCGTAGATTTCGCCAAGATTTTGTGCACGATATTGGGTCGTTGCTGAACGAACATGCCGTGTTGGAAGCGTAAGGCCGTGCTTTCTGGGCTTCACCTTTTGTAGTTGCTATGTATGGTGGTTCATGGTAGGTATGTGAAAGAGCAGGAAGCTGCTATTGGTGACGTGGCAGTACGTAGAATTCTATGTATACGGAAATATATATGAATTCAGAAATATATATATTTATATGTAACATTAGAACAATGACCACGTTGATATGTAGAGCACCATCCAAGTACCGCATCGGACGCTCTTGGTGCACAATCCACCAGTGCCCGACACGGTGTTATGGGCACCCTTTGTCAAGTGGCATCCCGAGGTACTAGTACTTATCTACTTATTGGGAAACATAAACTATAAATATATCAAAAAAGCAATATATATATATGTCAAACAAATATTTTTCCCATGGTAGCCCATTCCAAAGTGCATTCCAACGTGGACCGTCGGCGATTTGGATGTGTTGTTTACCCAATTGTGGGTGAAAATCGCAATGGTGGAACGAAAGTGGGTCCGGTGGACGCTAGAACACGAGCGAGACGTGAGTGTACATACAGTAGAAGCCTGGAAATATGATAGCGTTATGTTGAAACTATTGTGTGTTGACTGCAATCAATCTCTTTAGCCAATCGTATTGCAACCTTGATTTTTCTTTGTAGCCAATCATACTCCTTTGCTCGATTAGTTGGCGATGTCATCAATCCCCCAAAATAGGCACATATTTGACTGAAAAGGACAATAGTAAATTTGGAAAAGAATATCCTGCTGATACAAGTAAATGCCGTTTGTAGAAGCAAACGTCCTCGTTGGACAACAACCACGCCAGCGACGTGGTTCCCATCACGCAAGTGTGCTTTGACTTCGTGGAAGATCGGTATGGCGAGCGTCGGGTGGCCGTGCTGGTCATGGCGTCGATTCTACAGGCCATCGATCGCCACGTTGGTACAGCTGTCCTATAATAAAATCTCACGTCATTTACACGACCAACGGGACTACGAGATGACGCGAGCGTCTGTCTATACAGTCTATATATGTCTCGGGCATAGCTTTGCCTTCACTCGTGTTTAATTTTCACAATCCATGACATGTGCCGTGTATGGTTGGTAGAGGAAAGTCCACAGCTGGACCTGTTTGGGTCGGTGTTTGCAGGTAACGTTATAGATAGATAACTCATCGTATGTAATGTTGGACTAAGGAAAATCGGCAGGGGAAGTGGATCAATCTGCGTGGTGGTACTTGATGACCGTGAAACGACATGTGGCGCAACTAGAGCTCGACATCACGACGGACCAAGCACTGCGGGTCGTGGGGCAGTTCCTCTTGCTTCCACAGGCCGATGTCAACGCCGTGGAGGTTTGTTTGGACGAGTAGTCCAAGCATATTTGCATAAGAATCGGTGCACTTCCTCTACGTAGAGCCAAGCTCTGGACGCGTTCGTGACGGCAGTGCACATGCAAGTTCGCGGTATGTCATATATACCAATGGATGACAAGACACAGTCGGTATCAATGATGTAGGCGAGTTGACGACGTCGAAATTCTTCGACTGGCTCGCCACACGCATCCTCACGGCCGATGAGTTCCACTTTCGAACGGCCAAACATGTACTGTGTCGCAACGATGGAGCCAAAATGAAGGAGCTGACGTTGGTTGAATTCTCCAAAAACGTGTTGGATTGTGTGCATTTGCCACGTGCAGTATGTACCCACGTCAAATGTCATGACCCTCACTCAGGTTGGGTTTTGCCTCCTACTCTAGCTTATTGGTCGATACTTTCGAGCCCTATGCGGCGAAGCGCGAGATACAGCCTCCGTGGAGAGTGTAGTGTACATGCTAGCATATATTCACTTAGTTCAACCAGGTGGTTAAAACGTTGTTTATCAATAATGCCAACGAAGCGGTGCATCTGGTTAATATCCGGTTCATACAGTACCAAACCAGTATTATTGGTATGGTATGGTAACGTAACGTAAAACATCAATTTAAGACACAACTGTGGAAGGCGGCTCGGGAGAATTACCAAATCTCCACGCTCAGGCAACTCCGAAAGTTGGAGATTGTAGCTGAAATAATGCTTTACAACCAATAACATACCGATTATTTTGTGTTTTGCAGTCGTAGTGCATGAGAAAGACAAGAAAAATCAAACAAATTTGATACCATTTTGAGAATCAATTTAAGACACATCTTATTATCTTGATCAAAGTATAATTACTTGCCTCAAATAAGCGGGGTGAATCGAGCCGAGCCACGAGTCAATTCGACGAAGTTGTCGTGTTGCCAACATGAAGTCAACCATCATCCAAGACAGTGGCTTGGACGATGCAAGTGGCAACATACTACCGGTAGTACACAAGCGAGAATTTGGTCGATTACATTGTGAATAACTGGACAAGATTTGATGTTAATTTTTACTTCGAAATATGTTGGTGCTAGCATGTATGTACTGTACACTACTTCGATGTATATGCTTATGAGTGAGGGGGAGGCAGTTTTTCACTAGTGGTGTTTTGGGGTTTTGCTCGTGGATTTTCAGGTAGAGTTAGACGTGGGGCTTCACTCGTGGTTAAATGGTGTGGTGGAGTTTTATTTAGTGGGCATTACTGGGTTGTTGCTTCATAGTCAAGAAGCCCATTAGTACAGTAAGTGTAATATCACTCCATCATAGCTAACGTAAAACAAGCAAACAAGCCGTGGGCCCTATATCTTTGCGCAGGTATTGTAACCGTGTTTGAGTGTACTTTGTTAGCTGTAGTGCTGGTCATACCATAAGTTATAGTTCGAATGTTTACGCGTCGATAAGTATAAGGATGCCCAGCAATTCTCGTTAACAGTAAATTCCACAGTTTAAAACAACAACACATGACATTTTCAGTGACCACCATTAAAAAGTCAAATGGCCACACGTTTTTATCCTATTCCCATGAGTGAGGCACGGCGAGTTCGACGAGTACGGTATGTCGAATGGAGGTGAGAGGAATGCGAGTTGCACTAAGCTTATGGTAAGAGATGGAGGAGAGACAGCCTTCCACAACGCCCCCAAGCTAACACCATCGTGGCTCCTGGTCCTACTAACGTTAACGCCATACTGTAGTTACCATTAACGCGTGTTGGATAGTTGTTGGTATAAGGAACCATTTTTGCCTTAACGTTAGTCGTAGATGGGTACACCTTTCCCATGCATAAGCCACCAACCAGTACAGTAGTTCAGGCAATGTTGTATTCGTACACTTGACGTTAGCCAGTCCTTGGACACTAAGAATGACGCACAACTCCACCTTGAGACGATATCGCCATGCATTTGTGACGCCCAAAGAACCTAAATTTGTGCGTTTCAAAATCCTTCAACTATACTTTAATCCAGTGTTTCGTGAATGTTTCGTAAATCAGTGGTATTTTTCTATACTTGAAGCACCATACAAACTCCAGCATAAAGGAAAATCGATACTTCCGTTTTACGAAACAAAATGTTTCGTGACTGTATTGAAATTGTTTCGGACTTGTTTCGTAAACCGTATATATCTTACAGTATACAGTAATTGATAAGTGTATGGAACATTTGATCGAAATTGTGAGTGGGTTTTGACTAAGAGCATCCCCACCGGCTGATGTAAACATAGAGCTGAAAGGACCCGTTTATTGGGTGCGTGCTGTAACAGTAGTACTTCACTTCACAGCCAATCCACACCGGTTGGCGGAAATTGTCGTCCTAATGGAGCAAATTTGCGTTGGACGCCCGCTGGCGATTGAGATTTTGGAGCTCTCGCCAGTGGAGAATTTAGTGCAGCTGGGTTGGCATACATTCTATTGTCTGTAAGATTCATATTAATGCTGCCGGCGTGCTTGAGGACGTCGGGATGGCATGCTTCGTTGAAGAAGTCCATTGGGACCTCAATCGCATAGAACTGTAAACGACCCAACAGATCTGTAGAGAAATCTGTGTTTATGGAGCGTTTACATCATGATCTAAAATTTATTGGCAACCGGTGTGGGTCTGAAAAATGTAAATTTTGCTGATGTAGTGGTGTACTTTGAAGATATTTACATTTCTACATCAGCCGGTGGGCCTAACTTTGACATTTTATTTGCCCTGATTCAAACTCTATCACTTGATTTGTATTCGGACGAGGAGATAAAGCTCAAAAAGAAGAGTTCGGCACTGCAACTTTCACGTTGAGATAATTTGAACTTCGCCAGATATGGTCGATTGAATGGAGCTCAAAATCGGCAAATCACAGCTCCGTCACATTTGTAGTAGTTGCTTCGATAAGTACTGCCTGACGTTAACTGTAAATATCGTTATGTCAGCCTCCTCATCACAGAAACAGATCACGAATGTCGACCACGATACTCGTTACTAGTATTCCTTTTCGTTTCACCATTAATTCGTTGAGCCTCCTTTGGTATATCCTTGTAGTTTCTCTGGAGTATGAAGCAATGCTACGATAGTACAGGGAACAGGAGGGAGCTGCAAACTTGCTCGAAACTCAATGTCATCGTGAAATAGTTAAACGTTGTACAACGTTAACACGTGTCACCGACACATACATATGACGGTATTTCACGTCAGGCTGTACTTATCCAAGCAACTAAATTAGGCAAACCCACTGACGTTTTCGATCCATATTCCCTGAGTGGGATTTCCTCCTATTAATAACAGTAAAGTAACTGTTACTATTGTTAGCGTGGGAAGTGTGTTGTATAGAAAATTAGTGGTAATTCTCGTTTGGACGTCCTAGGCAAAATCGCATTGTGATTGGTTCAGCCAAACCACACACGGCAATGCAAGCAATCCAAATCTTTGTTCTTCACGTCAAGCCAAATAAATAACTATGCGAATCCATTTTCGAAAGTCGCATGGAGCAGTTCACGCCGGTTCGAACACTAAGAGATGCCCTCTACGGCAAAGTGGTGCTGTGTCAGCGACACTTGTGCGACGGCGACGATCTCGTCGCCATTAAAATGATGAGCTTGGCCAGCATAGCGACCAAGACGGCGGTTCGCGGTGGCTACCGCATCAAGGAGGACGGGTACATAACAAGTTTACCTCTTCGTGGCCAATGGTCACGACTCGCATGATCACGATCGACCGACGTAGGAGCGAGGAAGTGGCCATATTGAAAAGCCTGCCGCCGCACCCGTCGATTGTCAACTTGCTCGAGCATTTCGAGCACGACGGCATGTTGTGTTTGGTGCTGGAATACTGCTCGCTCGGGGAACTGTTTGACCACTTGCACCGACAAAAGCTGCAACTGCCACGTCACCAAAGTCCACAGCAACAGCCGTTCCTGTCCGTCAAGGCGATGGTCGGCGGGCTTGTGTCGGAACGTCAGGCTGCCACGTGGTTTCGCCAGATTGTCGACGGCGTGGCCCATATTCATGCCCATGGCATTGCTCATCGTGACGTGTCCCTTGAGAATATTCTGCTCGATGGCAATCAGCACTGCCGGTCAGTAGGTCGCAAGCGACGTGAGTGGCCACTTACACATGTTTGGCCAATGTAGAATATGCGACTTTGGGCTGTCGTCGCGCGAGGGAAAACGATGTGTGGGGCGAGTTGGAAAGCCATTCTACATGGCCCCGGAAGTGTATTTCGGGGATCTTCAGCGGTACAATGGTTCGTTCACTAGTTAACGCTATGTAGTACACCGTCGCAGGGTCCATTTGTGACAGGTCGTCATAGGATTTCAAGCAGACGTTTGGTCGCTAGGGATTTTGCTGTTCATCCTCCTCAGCGGCATCCCACCGCTTGAAGTGCCGTCTGAGATCGACGCGCGGTTTCGCATTATTCGCCAAGACGGCATCCACGTGTTGGCCAAAATGTGGGGCTTAACTATATCCAAAGACGCGCTGGACTTGTTGTCGTGCATAATAAGAGCGCAGCCGGACGAACGGCCATCCTTGGACGAGATCTTATGTCATCGTTGGTTTCAATCGCGCTGGTTAGACGCTACTGTCGGCAACGAGGTCCTTGTGGCATAACTTGTCTAACGAGTACTATAACTGTGATTGGATGACCGACAAATGATTGAATTCCAATTGGTCAGTACTTTCTCCGACAATCCAATTGGACGAGGTAATTGTCGTAGCGCAGCAACATACAGTACTACTGCTACACTATTAGTACAGTTAGGACCGACCTTGGCTCGGCCAAAGAAATACTACGTAGTAGTACCGGTAGGAGGCGAGACACATTGGGGTTTGGGGGGAGAATTCTCGTTTCGCTGCGTCGCCTTGAACTGCGGCATATATATTGCGATTTGAAAGCGCAAGTTGTTACTAGAGTGGTGTGGAAGGGCTGCAAGGGGCTGCGGTAAATTCATTGGGTTCTGCTACTTTTGCGCTACTAGGACTACTAACGTTATCAAAGTACTTCGAAGTACTATGTAGTACTACGTAGTAGTAAATACTAGTACATGTCTCGCTTGCAATTCTGTGACAAGTACATACATGTACAGTACTGTATCGATATCGGTATGCAGTACAATTCCCTCATTACAGTAAAACAGTTTCACTGTTGCTTTGACCCGAAATACTGTGATCAATGAGGTTTATATGGAACTTTGTATTGTCAGACCACCTCACCTCTTACTAGGGGTTAAGTGCATCTCAGTGGTTAGCGATAGCTAACCACTGGCGATGCATTTAACCCCGGAGATTTAGCATCGCATGTATTCACCGGGGGTAGGACGGAGTCCCAGGTTACAGGGCTACTGGCGAAAAGGTGTATCCGGATGTAATAATTCCCTACAGTATTTCGGGTCAATACAACAGTGGAACTGTTTTAATGAGGGAATTATTCCGGTATGCACGCAATGACGTGGTTACACGTCATTACCGGTATGTACAGTATACGTATACCCGTAGTAGATGCCAAGTGTATTTGTCATTGACGAATTCAATTCGGCGCATTAGACAACTCTCGACTGTAAAATGTAGTACAACCTAGCGGCGCTCTGGCCTGCATTGCCTCATGATGTGCACTAGGTACCGGTACGAATGTACTAGTACCTGGTACGAACATATCCCGTCATAGAATGCTATGCTTGGAACGGATACAGTAGTCGCTTCGGAGAAAATGACGTGATGATATGCGTCTAGGATTCATCAGCGAAATTACTTTACCTATGACTCTTCCAATTCTCTTCAGGGAACAAACATGATGTGACTATGGGCTAGGACTCATTGTCGAAATGACGGCGGCACAGTACTGTTAGCGAAAAATCGCGTCGTCGTCATCAGGTGGGACTTAGCTCCATCCGAATATCCAGCTGTCCCGGAATACCGTACGATACAGTAGCCGAGTTAAAATTCGTCTAAAGACTAAAACTCGTCCGAAATTCACCAACCACAGGTGTGGATTTCGAAAGGTTTCGATCGATTTCATGCATGGCGCAACCCAGGTCCATGTCTGTTGCTCAGTGCACTACCGCACAACCTCAACCGGCTCTTGTGCAACATACCCCAGCATATGGTGCGCCCATTTCGCATTGGCACCAATAGTAGTACTACTTGGGTGGGGTACAGTAGTACTGTGTATGTGGGTGAGCATTTTCAAATAAGGTTCGAGAGGTGGTACAGAAACGTGTGAAGAAAAGAAAGCATGAAACCGAAACCGTTTGTTAATTAACATGGTGTACGCACGATTGGGTTGGGGGACGACAAAAAGACCTAATTATCCCTGCAAACCACAACCCAACGCACCCGCCGTCGTCGGCTCGACGTCAACAAAAAATTCGTCAACCCAACATGTCGATGATTTACTGGGAAAAATAAATAGTGCAACTTTTACAATGCAGTACTATTGGTGTGACGAGTATTACTGCCTGCTTGGTCATTGTCGTCGTTCGTGTCGCGAATGGTACTACCGATGCTAGACATGAGCTTGCCGTGCGCCATGCAGTAGCCACTTCGTTGGCTATTCTTTGCACACCCAGTATACTTGCAAGGCCGCCCGCCTCCATGGCACTTGCACAGACCGCGCGCTTGGGCACTTCGAGTGCAGTCTTTGACTGAGCATCTTCGTCCTCCGCCGTGGGCAATACAATGTCCCCCGCCTTGGTCGCTAATCTTGCACCCAGCCGTCTGACATCGCCGCCCGCCGCCGTGGCCTTTGCACAGCCCTCTGGACCGGATGCCCTTGTTGCAATCCGGCACTCGACACAGCCGAGCGGCACCGCCGCTACCTTTGCTATCGTTGGACGGTGAATGCGCCATGGACATTGCGCCGTCGGAGGTAGCGTAGTGCGGTAGCGTGGACGATAAATGATGGCGAAACGAAGACGTGCTCGCGCGATGATGATGATGAAGATATGGTGGTGCTTCCAGGTGTTGTGGCAGCGACGCCGACGGCAGTTGATGGTGGTACGTTGGCAGGGGGTGTTGATTCTGCTGGTGGTGGAGGTGCAAGTACGAGAGGGACGAATTGGTCACCGACAGGTCTTCGCCATAACGACTACTTCCTTGGGTGACGCGGCCGCCATTGTTAGTCTGGTCAAGGTACGTGGTTGCAGTCGCCATCGACATGATGGGTTCGATGAACGGCATACATTCGTTCAAAGCTTCTTCAAGAAGCGCAGGGTCCAAGTGCTGCTTACCAGTAACGTTAGGTCTCGAAGGATGCTGGTGGTCCGAGTACGGTTGCTGGTACGACGAATGAGGATATGGGTCGTAATGGTGATGGTGGTGGTGATATGTCGCCGTGGCTGGAGGTTGTGACTGCTGAAAGGACGTCGCTTGGCTTGGTGCTGCCTGGCTGCCGCCGTAAAAGTACGACGGCTCATCCATGGGTTGGTGGTTCGAGTACTGCTGCTGGTGATGATGGCGGTCGGAATGAAACGTTTGTAAGGGAGGCAGTGCCCCCTCGTCCTTGACCTCATTGTGCGCACCCTTGTTGGACGTGGTGGGGTAACGGCACGAGTACGGATGGGGCTGCATTACCGTCCCGGTGGCAGGTGAATAATAACTCTGGTGCTGGACCTGCATCTGGGAAAATGAACAATGACCACCTTGTATGGCGCCAGGGGCACAGAGTGGGATTGATAAGAGGCTTGGTTGCGACATCACGACGGCAGCCATGACGTGCTCATGATTTAGTAGCCCAATCATGTGGATTGGGCGAGATGTTTTCCTAGTACTACTACTCAGAATCAGTGGAATTGCAACATGGTGGCTAGTAGTAGACGACGAATATCTCAGCCTTCGTGTATGTGGCCTTCATCTAGCTAAATGTATGCTATGAAACGGCACGAGCTGGATCTTCCTGCTTTGCACTGTAGTTTTGTATTGACATCCCATGTGGTTTCTTGGACAACATATGGGATTGGATGAGTTTGACCATAAGCTAAAGGCATCCATTGCTGTTGATGCTGTGGACATATTTCACAAGGTAGGTTTCGTGAGCGAAAATAAGATGTTGCTGTGTGATTCTAACATTTGGGAGCAGTGCAAACCGCAGCCGTGAAGAGCGCAGCATTCATTTTGGCATGGCGTTGATGGCAGAATCAGTGTGATCCACAAGTACCCGGGTATGACAATAACGGTAGTACTCCGCGAAGTAATTTGGATGAATGTCAACCATGGAAACAGGAAATAGGCGACTGAGCTTCCCCACACATGCATACAAATTACTGTACCATTTGCATAAAGTACTACATGTACCGTTATGTATTTACAGACTGTTAATGCTTGATAACGAGCTGCTCAGCCAGGAGTAGCTTGTACTATCTCTACTCTGGCGACTTTGAATGCTGTAAGCCCCATTGGACGTCAAAGGGAACAAGTTTGGTACCAATTCCTGGTAACGATGAATACCCTACCGATGAGTTTCATCGTTGTGCAATTGTTGCATGCTGAGGGCTACTGGTATGGTGACACGTGCTTAAAACACCACGGGTGTTACTCCCATGTTGATCTACTTGGAGTAGATCAACTCGTAATTTGTACTGTGGTGATCGAGATATGGCAAACTTACAAACACGTGTGATTTACGCTAACGTAAAAAACCAATAGATTGACTTATTTATGGAATTCGTAGGGAGATTGCCTACGATTTCATATTTAACCAATGAAAACACTCGTGTACAGTGATTGGATAATTCAATCACAAATCCGTGCTCATCACGAAACACTACAGTATTGAGGATAGTCCTTGGCAATGCAGGCTGCATGATACGAGTGCAATTATGCGTCGATGGAATATCATAGTCATGTTACTACGGTAGTAGTTTCGACATCAACGTTGACTGTAGTAAGCATCCATTCCGTCAGCACGACCTTGCCCGCTTGAAAGGCATCAGCTACCGTCGGACGACTCCAACGTGCTTCTGCATGGAGTAATGTAATGCCATACATACTACATACAAGTAAGTCAAGGTCCTCAAAGGTAAACATCCAACCACGTGATATTAACGACACTCCTGAGTAGAATTATGCACTTGTGTGCACTTGAATTGGAGAAATGTAGATAGGCCACTGTCAACAACTTGACCCGTAAATAGTTCAATACTTGCTTCATAACAGAGATATACTTACTTCTCTTGTGTGCTTATGGCCCACATACTAGTAAGAATTTCCATAAAGTCTTGATATTCGCAAACGCGTCCAGCTCGACTATCAACATATCACAATAACTCTTCCATAACGATCGCTCCTTCCTACTACGTACTAATACAACGCAGCACAACTTGCGCACTGCTAACGTGACATACCTAGTGCTATCAATGACATTACCATTAGGACGCCTCACATTCCCTTTTGGCATGTGACGTGTACGATAGAGGAGGATTGGCAATTTGTGATTTTCTTGAGATCTCATTGGATATGAAAATCGTAGGACCAGCTCCCTACGATTTCGTCAATTCACAAATGAACTGCGAAATTTTATGTTTGTTACAAATTCGTATATAACTTGGAAAAAAAACGAGGTGGAGGATTTCGAAATGGCGAAATCGTAGGGGTGTGCGCCTACGATTGCATACAAAAGTCAAGTTCTGGCCTACGAATTCCGTAGAATGCCCGATACTACCAGAGAATGGCTCGAAACACTTTTCGCGACGAAACTTATTTAATTACTTATAAATTCTAGTGAAGTATTCACTAGAATAGAATTACGAGTATCACTATTTCGATATATAGTATATTCAAGGCTAAATTAGATAGATATTTTCCAAATACACATTTTGGACTTTTAAGCATAACGTTACATAGAATCCTTCAAAGCTTGCTTATACTACTGTAGTACAGTATGCTGTACCAGTATGTTGCACGTCATCTAAAAACTTCCTA